AAGGGTTGACGCATCATCAGCATCAGCATCGCAACCGGAGTGGTGGTTAGTCACAGCATCACCTTCCTTTTCAACAAATCTTTGTTTTATGGAAACGTCCGTGTTACATGAAAGTTTTAGCAGGTACTGGTGTGGCACTGGCTGAAATATTAACAAAGGGAAATGCTTCCAACGCTAACTAATGCAGAGAAAATATTACTGAATATTAATATTAGTTTGAATGATTTATCAGGTCCTAACATTACTTTTATTAAGACATTGTGGAATCATTTTGAATCTTTCAAAGATGTGTGAACTTCTGAACTGGTTGGAAAGGTACTGAGCTGTTTACCGTCTCGTAGCAGTTTAAGTGTGTGTTGTGCACTAATTTGTGCCCATGCTTTATTTAAAGATGCATCAGTTCTGATTTTGTGGAGCGATACTAATTCAGTTTTTTACAAGTCTGGTCAGCTGATAACAAATTAAAAAGATTCTAATCTTTTTAGAAAATGTTTAATTACCAGAAAACACTTTTGTTCAACTTATGATTGAGTTTAAAATTATTATTTTGCATGTAAAAATTGCATTATGGAATCTGTATTACTGCTCTCATGAATTAGTGATTGGTGGTGGTGAGTTCATGAGCCGGAAGAAATGTTGTTTTTATTGGTGCTTGGCAATGGTGTGTGCATGCATTGAAATAAAAACAGACGTTTGAGTTTCCGGTCAGCTGCTCACTGATTAAACCAACATGGAAGCTGAGTAAAGCAATCAGAAACTTTCTAAATAAACTAGTTTTGTGTCTGAAACGCTCTCAGCGCTATAGGCTAAGAAGGTACCCTATGACGTTAGTTGGTACATTATGATGTCACATTATGATGTCACAATGTCTTTGTGAGCCTGTGTGTGTGTGTGTGTGTGTGTGTGTGTGTGTGTGTGTGTGTGTGTGTGTGTGTGTGTTTGTTTGTTAGTGGCTTCGCCCTCTCGGTCTGCGCCTTCATTTAAATAGAAGCCATGATAGTTAATGAGGGGCACACGGGGAGCACTGCACCAGTGCTGAAGGTAGGCACCAGTCCTATCTAAAGCGCCACGTCGCCGCTGTTGACAACATTATGGAGTACTTTACAACAGACATGACTGCGCGGAACGGCTTTACGGCACAAACCCAGCTGCAGTTTTGATAACTTTAAAGTGCTATTGATCTTAAAATATTTTATGAAATAGCGCATTTACCCACTGTTAAGGAATTAGAGTCTCACAAAACATGACGGCAAGTTTGATCACGTATAAACAATAGAGTTACTTCCCGCTTGTTGTTCTCAAGACCTGCATGATGCTGTGACTATCGCGCAACATTCTGAGATGCGCTCAGCGTCGCGTCCTGTGTGACCACTTGGCTTTACAAAACCATGGGCATGGCGCTGCGCGGCATGTCTGCCTCTGGTGTGCCCAGGTTTAAGACACTGGTAGGGGGAGACTTGCTCTTTAAAGTAACAGTGAGCAATTTTCCTGCTCCTCCGCCCTACTGGTTGAAAGTGGAATTGCAACTGCCGTAAACAACCTTGCTGCAGCCTGCTGACGCTAGCGCCAACACTTAGCTAACACCAACATGAGCCTACTAATACTAAAATAAACCACTAAGTTAAAAAAAATCCATGCTGTTGGACAAATAATAGCATTACTTACAAGTCCAGTAGCAACAAAACCAGGTCACTTTCAGTCCATGATTTGAAGCATTTTGCATTCTCAGAATAGTGTAGGTCGCGCCAATGTTCACTCTGGATTTAGCTCATTGCTTTGCCTCCAGAGACTACTCTTACTTTTACTTCCAGATTCTGCCATGATGTCAACATAAAAAACTAACTTATTTTTCTTCTTGTGCTTTTTATTAACAATTAGCAAACTGAAAATGCTAACCACTAGCAATACAGCTAACAGCCGTACAACAGGTAAAGAGCTCCCATAGAGCATCTACCTGCTTCACAAAACTATCAAATGCCATGTTTGGTCAGCAGAAGGCAGCAGAGTGAGATCAATGTTAGCTCTAGCTTAAAGTTTTAAAAACTGTCTGTTGTTACTTTAAACTGACAGAATCGATTTAGTTTTTTCTTTTGATTTCTTATTACTTTGAATTTTATGATTCACTTTCAAATGGAAGATCGGTTACTTTCTTGTGTAACTTAATACTTAGCGATGGTTTGTTCATGCACTGAGACTTTTAATTCCTGTTGGGAAACGTTGGATTCACAAACTGAAAAGAAAATCTCCCATTAAATTTTATTCTAGTTTACATATTCAATTTATTTCTGAAGGTTTGACCTAAAGAACACGTCACTTGAGCATTAGGCATGTACACCAAGGTTATTTATTTTATTGTCATCTTGTTATATAACTGAATAGAAGCACGATCCAGTGCCTCTGGAGTGTGATCCTACAGCTGACATATTATCATCCTATAAATATGACACGTGAAAGTCATTAGAATGATAAACATTTGCTTATTTATACATTTAGCACTGATGGAAAAGCATTTGTATTTATTGCCATCTGGGAGAGCTGGTTCTGCTGTCATCTTCAGTTTGTGTATCAGGATTTTATTTTAAAGACTTTTTCTGTTATGAAAGCTACAAGAAATGTGGGTTTGAGCTACTCAGTGTTGAATATGGTGAAGGTTTGGCAACACGCCTTGGCCATTAGGTTTGAGGGCAAATTAAATTCTCATCAAGCCATGGTCTGAAATAAATCTGAAAACTGGTGAAAAACTTGTATTTATTTTTTTTATTATTATTTTTATTTCACATCCAAAAATTGGTAAGGGGATACTTACATCCTGGACGAGCCCCCATCTTTTTACTAAATATGACAGAAAATGAATGCTAAGGTCTAATAGCACTGACAGCTTTGTCAGAATGAAAGCCTACAAAGCAAAATCATCCTGATACCCTTGTGTTTCCGGGTGTGACTATTTTCTATCTTACTTTGCTGTTTTGGGTTAGTACAACCTCATAAACATTTTTTTAAGTTTTGTTTTAAAAGTTGAAAATGCAAAAAAGTTAGTTTTTCTCAAAAATAAATAAACTAAAAATTACAAACTGTAAATAAAGTCAAGACTCTGTAAACAATGAAAACAGGTCTAAGTTGAACAGAACAAAATATTATAATAGGAGAAGATAATGTCCTCTTTAGGGGACATGGGGTCCTGGGAGGTTAGGTCTTAAGAAACCAAACAAACAGAGACAGGTAAACATACTGTCTCACATTTTTCCTTAATGAGCATGCTGAATCAATTTCATGACCCTTTGGGCCTGAAAACCTGATTAAAACTGTGGTGTTTCTAAAGTGCCGCTCATAAGAGCCTGCAAGTAAACAAACATGTTTTCTTTGTGCCTGTGGTTGGTTTTGGAGATCAGTTGTCTTTTATAATAAAAGCAGGGCACTGTCTGTGTGTGCATAGAGGCAGACAGGCAGGAGAAGAGACTCCTCTGACTGGCAAAATATTATTGAAATGCACCTGGAAAGTAAACTAATTTTCCCTGCAGGTCAGAGGACTGGTTATGGTAATAAAAAGAGAGATGTCATTAGATTCAGAGGTATTTGAAGTGCTCTCTGGTGTGGGACGAGGCAGAGTGGATGGAGACACCCGTGTGTTTGAAAGAAAGATTGAGACAATGAACAAAAAGGTGTGTGTGTGTGTGTGTGTGTGTGTGTGTGTGTGTGTGTGTGTGTGTGTGTGTGTGTGTGTGTGTGTGTGTGTGTGTGTGTGTTTCAGTCTGCTTCCCTGCCTCTATCTCTGTCTCCTCTGAGGATAGTTATTCATGAGCTTGACCTACATGCGCTCATGCTTGTGTGTGCATGTGTGAGTGTGTTTGTCACCCCGTGCAGGAGGTTCTGGTCCACTCTCCAAGATTCACCAACCACTTTCACGGTGTGAGCCAAACCCCCCAGTTTGATATTTCCACCTTCACCAGAAGGCAATCTTTAGATGGTCGCCTCAGCTGCGTTCCTGCTTTTTCACCGGAACCGTGGTGGTTCTGCTCTTACACCAGCACATTTAAACAGTCCTTCCAGTTTACCATCAACTCTCAAACATACAGAAAAAGGTGCAAACAACAGCGAGTGGAAAGGACCATATCAGATAAAATATGGCTTTGACAGATTGCAGCTGAGATGCTGCCAATTCTTTTTATCGCGAGCAAGGCTGCCTTACTGTCCAAAGCGATGGATCATCATCAAGCGGTCTCCTAAGCAACAGCGAGCATGTGAATCCAAAGAAAGTGTGGACATGGCAGCGTGAGATGTTTAGCATATTCTGTCCCATTGGTGTCCTTCAGGATGAGACACGGTAAACAGGTCTCCTCGTGTTAAGGTTCCTGGTGCCTCGTTACATGGCTTCAGAGTAATGAGGCTACGGTTTTGGAGCGTGCTAAGCTTTTTCTTAACTAAATAGGACTTTGAGATATTTACTTTTAGGAATAAATCAGTTACTGAAAATGTTGGGGCTGTTTGGTCTCGTGTGGATTCACAACTCATCTATTTATCGTGTTTATTTCCCGTTGTACAAGCAGCACATTCACAAGAAAAGTAAATTAGAACAAATTACTGCCATCTTTTTCCCCCTTTGGCGGATAAAGGACAATGCTTTACTTTTTCTTTCGCTGCTCAAGACGATGTCTTCAAATTGCTCCTTTTTTTGACCGACACTCAGAACTTGGTGAGATAATTAAGCTTAATGAATAGCTTTAAATATGGATCAGTTGTAAAGAGTGTTGCTGGGCAATTTTCTGCAGATTGGCAAATGATTAATCCATGATAAATAAGCAAGATTCTAGGAAAAGAAATGGCTCTAAGAAACACAAAAAGTTACATTTTTATAATCTGATGGAAAATGTATTGTTGCACATTTAGCTCATCACTCAGTCAGGGACACGAGGTTTCTACAGAGATGCTAATTCTTAGGAAAACATGTGGATCAGTGACGTAAACTTCACTTCCTCCTAACCATCCTCCCGTCTTCTCTTCAGGGCGTCCGGACGTGGTAGAGTCTGTTCCAGACGAGCCCACGTACAACGTGAGCAGTGAGCTCACGCTGGAGGTGAGCGCCAGTGACAACAACGTCCCCATCACCTGCGTCGTCGACCACCCCTCTCTCGCCCCGGAGGACAAGAGGAGTGAGCAGGCTCTGCAGGTGTTGTGTGAGTCAACCGGGGGGGGGGGGGGGGGGGGGGGGGGGAACATAGACGAGGCAGTAAAGGAAAATTAAAAAGCCATAACTGCTCTGGTTTTTAATTTCTTTCCTGACCTTCTCCTTATTGGGCTTTGTGAGAACAATGTCCTCTCTTGTACTTTGATCTTTCTAACTGACCATCTGCAATAACCACCCTCCTCTGCTGCTGCACTCAGCTGGAGTTGAGTCACAAAGGACAAGAGGAGCATGTTATTGGCTAAAATAAAACCACAAACTGTGGTGTAGAGCCTTTGTCAGTGCTGCTCCCTATGGGGAAGGATGTAGTACTGCATCACAGAAGGGAGGATGTTGTGCACGAGGTTATGTCACAGTGGGAGATGCTTAAAGAGCAGTAGATAGTCTCATCCATCCTTATCTCTATCTGTGCTGTTTCTGCATGGTTGAAGGTTAGGGTTATGTCACTGCTGTGTTTTTGGTCCATATGAGTTTATTTTCTACTTACAGATTCCCCCAGGGTCCACATCAGCCCAGATGAGATGTTACCAATTGAAGGACAGAAGTTTTCTCTTCGGTGTTTTGGCAAAGCCAACCCAGAGTAAGCCTGCTTAGACACATAACCATAACCACTATCACTGGTTATTAGAAGAAGTAATTACTATTAATCCGCCTCAATAAGGAAGGAAGTGAGGACGTTCTGATGATGCTTGGAAACAAACACACAAAGCTACGGAACACCTTGTCTACTTCACGCTGGTAATGGATAATTCTAGATTTAAGAAAAAGGAAACTGAACGTCTTCATTTTCTTTTAAACTGAGGCAAAATCTTCATTAATGGAAGCTATGTGAGAAACCAAACCCCTGGTCCTCTGTCTAGAGGGTCATTAGGGTTTTGTTGTCCTCACTACCAGAAGTTTTGATTACAGTCCTAAAGGTGTGGATTGCTGGAAAACTGATTAAAGCTCTCATTCACTCGTTTATTAATTTTTTTGGTACTCCCGTTTAAAAAAGCAGAAGTTAGCTGGAAGAGTTTGGGACAGAAAGCCGCAGGTCTTACTCTTTGTTATTCACGGTATTTGAACAGTTTGCATCTGACTGGCTAACAGCAATGCAACTCTATCTGACTCAGTTAGCTCTGAAACGGTGATGTTTTACCTCAAACCCCACAATTAACACAACCCTGAAGGAGTTCAGCCATGTTGTTTTGTTGCTAATGCTAACAGTTAGCTTTTAGTAGCCTAGACGTTCACTGCTGTCTCCTGGACGCTAAACAAACAACAGCCATCCCCGTCGCAAGTCGAGATGGATGAGAATGGTGGAATGCTCCCAGCATGAGTCTTTGTCTCAGGTGGAGGAGCTTAACTATCTCGCTGTCTTGATGGTAGATCAGAGCGGGAGATGAACCGACAATTCTGGGTTTCTTCCTCAGTAATGAGGGCATTACGCTGGTCTGTTGTGGTGAAGACACAGAGCAGCAGATCAGGTGGGAGAGGGGGTTGTCCGGTAATCGGAGGGTTGTAGGATCGATCCTGAATGCTGCTGTTGTGTCCTTGGGCAAGACGCTTGACCCATCGTGGCTAGTGGTGGTTAGAGGGACTGGTGATGCCAGTGTTTGGCAGCCTCACCTCAGGGCAGCTGTGGCTACATCACCACCAGCATGTGAATGAGTGTGTTGTATTATTAAGCACCTTGGGGGGGTTCCAGGAGTCTAGAAGGTGCTATATCAAATACTGGCCATTTTACATGAAAATGCCTCCTCTGTGTCACTTAGAGGTGTCAGTTTAACATATTTTCATCAACATTTTTTCCGAGTGAACTTGAAACTGAGATTTGCTGCTGCCACTCAGCGAACTGGTGGCTGTTATTCAGGAGGATCCTCTCGCCAAAACTTGGCAGCATCCTTGTGAGCTCAGCGGTGACTCACTGTATGCTACTTCCTAAATGAAATCATTTTAAAAGACTAACAATCAAACTATGATAATTCAGTCCAGAAAACCTGGTTTCTAAAGGATTTTTAGAGCTGGTTGACGGAAAGGGGAAGGATAAACAACAAGTTCAAAGTGCTTGTATCAAACAGAAGAGTGAATGAGCTCTTGTTGACAGAGATGATGATTTTGCCTATTGGTGCACTCACTAGGATCTGTTGGAACAGGAATTATAAACCTGTAATTTAAGGGGAAACTTAACCGATTGAGCTCATGGAAACACTATAGTCAAAAATCACTAGTTTAAGATCAGTAAGCGCTGGTTTAATTTCATAGGTATTACAGTGTGGAGAGTTTAAAATGACACGTGATGCAGCCTGCATACTAAAGCCACACTAGCATGGTTTATGTGGTAAATCTCTATAATGGTAGGCGGAACTATCAGGGCTCAGTTCAAAGGACCAAAAAGCACAACACCAAAGGCAAGGTGGTAAAGACACAAAGGCGAGCTTTACTTCAAAAAGAAGATTTAAGGGAACAAGAACCAGGTGGGCAAAACAAATCACACGCAGCAGCTGGCAGCAGAATCCAGAGAGCACGCATGGAAAAAATAATAAACCATTAAAGGAACCATTCGAACTGCCCAACACTGAAAAGTGACTTCATTAAACCCAAAAGAAAGTGTGACATTAATGGTGCACCGGAGGTTTAAATGCATAAAAGATGGCGGACGTTGATTCAGATTAGCTCTAGAGAGTGTAAAATAAAAGCTCCCACACACACACGCACACTCCCCAGCTGTTGTGCTTGAGTGTTGGAGTTCACCAGGGTTTAAAAAGATTTAATGAGACATCATCATGACCGGACAGGTTGCCTGGAAACAACGCATCATCACTGTGACGAAAGAAAGAAAAGCTCCCTTATTAAATGTTAGAGTATTAAATATACATAAATCATTTCCATAGGCTTGTCTTAAAATACACTTCAGTGAATACAATAACTAAGGTGTTTCTTAGGGTGATGTAGAGGAAACAGGGTGCACCAAGGGTTAAGAGTTCTGAGCCCTTATGAAGTTGACTAATTGTTTTTTAAGGTTACAGGTTAATACCATCGACATTAATATACAGGTGACTCTTGAAAGCTTCGTCTTCAGCCGACTAGGTATGCAGCTATAGAAAATTTGAGTATTCGAATATTCTATCGAATCCTCCATCAATTAATTGAATATTTTATTTGATGATGTTTCACGTGAAATGAGACTGTTGCAAAAAATCTAAAAATAAACCAAAAAAATGATCAAATGAGCAACAATATGTTTTGAATTGGTGTTGTCTTTCCCAGCTGATATGGATAGTTAATACAAATTTTATGGAGCAAAATTGGACTTATATTCAATTAACATTTTAGGTTTGTATTAATATTACTCACCCTAGTCTAATATCCACACACGATCAGTAGAGTTTAATTATTTCATTAACATGCTCAGTAGTAAGCAACTGGAAATGCTAATATTTAATTTCTACTAGTAACTAGTAGTCTACTATTTCATTATGTACGGGTTGGCAACATAGTCCAGAAGCATTTGTGAATAACATGATACAACGGCTTGCCTTAATTCTGCTGCGGCGTGTGGAGCAGACTTGAGTCACTATCACTCAGTAGCAACAACCAGACTCCAGGTACAGTCGCTGCAGCGTTTCTGCTCCATACCACTGCAGCTGCAGACTTCCACACATAAACGGGATAGTGGGGATTTTTCTTCCGCTTGTAAAGTTTAGTTATTCACAACCGTCACGTTTTTCTGAACTCCACTTGATCATGAGCATGCTACACGCTAGCTTTGCATTAGCCAGTCTGCCCGTAGTTTAATGGTGCGCTCTATTTACCTCGGAAGTCGGAACTGGGAGTGGCATCACACCCGAGTTTCATTTGATTTTTCCTACTCGGAGGTGGGGTTTTCCGAGTTCCGAGGACAAACCGAACGCACTTGGAGTTCTGAAATTCTTCTGAGTTTCTGACTCGGAGGTCTGACTTTGGAGGGCATTTCATTTGAATTTTCCTACTCTGAAGTCAGGATTTCAGAGTTCCAATGACAAATCTAATGCACCATAACTCATAATCCCAAGCTTTGGAGTGTTTCTGCCTTTTACAATGGTTTGAGTCTTTACTGGTTTCTCTATTTTCCTCCACAGCATCAAAATCACCACGTTGTCTGCCAGTAAAAATTGTTAACGACACTTTGAATCGGTAAAAAATTAATTGAGGAATTTAATGAATCAAACCATCTGAATCATTCGAAGATTCATTTCAGCCCTACAGCCGACCCAACACACCAACTGATTGGCTGGCTGAAGTTCATGCCTACCTAGTGATGGCCTCTGATTAGCGGGTAGACTCAGCAAGCAGCGACTTCCCACACGTTCAATTCATTTTCAGTTTGGATGCAGTGGTGTAAACATCTTCTGACTGCAGCTCGGAACCAGTGCGAAACTGATTTCTGTGCATCACTCACTGCTCAGCGAGAGTAGGAAGCTGTGTGCTTCATGTCAGAGTCTCCAAATGCAACACTGCTCACGGTCGCTTTGTTTCCTAACTTAAGGACACCTCGGACTTCTCTGCACTTATTTTTCCCCGCCTACATGTTCAAAGACATCTGCATTCCTGAGAAGGCTGTGCGAACCAGACATCATGGAAACCCAACTAAGACTGGACCACCTTATGGTTAGCATGCCCCAGGATTCCCTTCGAAGGTGTTTTGGGTACACATGCATTAGACTAGATTGTAACAGAAATTTCTTGCCTAGTTTATCGAGTTTTAACGGATAGCAGAGGCAGATTAGACCACCGGACAGCAAACGCCCTAAAACATAATCCCTTTAAAAGTGTCAAATTACAAGGCAGCAACAAAAATCATTAACACAAACAACACCATCACACACACACCTGTGGGGTGTTTGTGCAGGTAACGGCGCTCAGAAACATTTGTAAGCAATCGCACATAAGCATGTTCAGTTTCTGACACCCGCTTGTTCAAACATGACTAGCAAAAAAAACACCTGCTTGTACAAGCTCTGGTTTTCACTCACATGGTGTGTACACAGCTTCTCTGATGCCAACACACACAGAAACAGACTCCAGCCAGCGTCTTAAATCCTGCCCACACAAATACACTCTTCCTCTGGCCTTTCTGCATTATAGATGAACCCTCATTGATCTGCTCTCCCATCCTCTCCCTGCTCCCCCACCCATCCCTCCATCATCAGGGGATCTCTCTGCCGGTGTGTCACTCACACCTCATTCGCTGCTCTCCGTCTTGTCACGACACCTCCTCCTCCTCCTCTCACCGTCCTTCCTCATAACTCTCCCCTCTAACACTCTTTCTCCCTCTCCTCACACCTTTTCACCTTAAAGTCCACATCTCTCCTTGTCCTCTCATTTCAGCTGCTGTCCTGTCATCCTTCCCTCTTCTGTTCTCTTCACCCTGTCAGCCAAACACAGGAGAGGCCGGGTGGAGGACCGGCTGCTAAGTTTGACTGTCAGGTGGAAAAGAAGGCTTGGAGAGGGTGAGGTGGCTGCCATGGCATGTATGAGCTGATAAATTAAACACAGTTAAAATGATCGGTGGGCCACAGTCTGGAGCCTGGATGTGCAGAAAGTCTATTTGTGATGCAATGGCACTGCGGATGAAAGCATCCATTGAATTATGGATGCTCTACATGAGGAATAGCTCTGTTCTACGGTGATAAATGGCTCTTTCTTGTCATAATGGACTTGTCAGTCCAAGAGTTCAGGAGATTCTAAAAATACAAAAAAAAAATAACCACACAATCATTTATATTACTGTGAGACATTTTAGATCAAATTGGCTAAGGATGTCTTGAACAAAAAAAGATGGAGAACGGAGGAGTAAAAGAAGGAGGAGTAAAATGGGAAGAAAAACAAACTAACAGGGAAAGGAGAGATGGTGTGTAGTGAAGCAAAGCGACGAGTGGGTGGAAGGGAGACAGAAAGAAATGGTGACAAGCAACAAATGACCAAGACAGACAGTGGGTAGGAAAAAAGAGAAACCGTGTGTGTCTGTGTGTGTGTGTGTGTGTGTGTGCGTGTGTGTGTGTGTGTGTGTGTGTGTGTGTGTGTGTGTGTGTGTGTGTGTGTGTGTGTGTGTGTGTGTGTCAGAGCGTGCTCACTTGTGTGCATCGCTGCTCGTGGATGAGCTAGTGTCCAATCACATCAGATACAGGTCGCCCCTGCAGCTGTCAGTCAAAACCCAATCACTGCGACAACACCTTTTCTCTGACACACCCAGCCACTCAGCTCCGTCTCCCCCCGTCGCTCTGCCCCCCAATCAAACTCAATAAATGTCACACTCCATTCCCCTGTACACACTTTTTTCTCCCCCTCTCGTGATTTCATTGTATCAGGTTTAAAAGAACAGCTAAGCGTATCAAATTCTTCCCTGTGTTTCTTTGACGCCCAGCAGCAAGAGGAAGGGGAAGGAATTTGTGCTCGACAATCTATTATATTTCCTATCCATTCCATCAGCACAAGTGCTCATAATAGCATCGTATTTCTTTTCCTGCAGTCATTTTCACAAGTGAAGCTCTTATTACCTGTTTATTAAGTTTGGAGCCGAAAGGACTTGAATGAAGTTGATGTATTTGCATTTAAGCATCTGGGAATGTGCAAGGTCATGGTTGGGTTTAGAAAGCACCAGGAGGTGTTTAACAGGATTACACAAGCTGTAAACTATTACAGGACATGGCTGCCTGCTCTATTAGTCTAACTGTTGGTGGTCACCTTGATGAAACCGCTGCCTTAACCTTAATGGAACAGCTGGAATCACAACACATCCTTATTATGAAATAACCCATTTGTGCTTTTCTGCTGCTCAGACTTTATATTTGCACCATGTGAGGAATCACATCCTTCTTCTTCCATAAACAAATATTTTACAATATGAGCATCTTTGTGCATTTTATATAAAACCATGGTCTTTCTCCCTTACATTAACTGGAACTGCATCACGCAGCAAGTGGAAATGAATATAATTACCTAAGCAAAGCTGGAAACTAAAGTAAGACGTGGTGAAAAGGAAGTGTTCTGACACTGGAGTCGAACACAAATCTCACAAATGGAGATCCATTAACTGTGGTCAAAAAGAAAGTAGATTTTTTTTTCCTCTGATAGCTGCTGTGGTTCTCCATCATGATTCTGTTTCTTTAATTCTTTATTTAATTTCTGGCCAGTCAACATCCTGTCTAGTAAAGTGTTTTTCTATAGAAACTTTGAAGTTAAACAAAGGCTGCGTTTCCACTGCCGGAACTTCAGGGTAAATTCTGGGCGGGGGAGATGCGATGTCTCGGCCCTCTCAGCTGCTGTGTCTCCAAATTCAGCTTTTCAGGACTTTGTACAGACGTCAGCATATCGCGACTGCTTTGGCAGTGAGTGATGTCAAAAAGTGTCCACAATAGCATTAAAAGTTTCCTGTATATCATAATTTAATCCATTCGGAGGACGAGAGAACCTGTGTGAAGTAAAATGTGGCATTCAGTGACCTTAAAGGTTTGTTTTTTACAGCGCTCTGTGAGACAACAAAGCTCCGTGATTTACGTCATTGCGGGGGAATTCCGTCGTGTTTTTTGGTTTTGGGGGTTTAGTAACAGCAATTTTAAAGCTGCGTGATCTGTGCTTATTTTCTTTTGCTCCTATTCTGCTCCACAAACAACTCTTCTAATTTTGTGAACACCGTTGGTTTTGCACAGAGTCTGCTGATGTCATTAGACTGAGTTAGAGCCAATCAGCGTGAGTTAACCAAAAGTTCCGCTCTGCTAATCCACCGGGTCATTCCGCGTCCTGTTCAGGTACATAGAAAGTTCCTGAAAGCAGCAACGCGGCCGGCCCAGTCAAGTGAGACACGCGCCGGGAAGTTTCTGTGACTTTACCCTGAAGTTACGGTAAAGGAAACAAACGCACCTAAAGTGTTTTACATGTTTAACACTTAAAGCAACACTTTAAGAGTCCCGCTGCTCCCTCCTACTGGTTAAAAGCGGAATTACAACTGCCGTAAACAACCCTGCAGCAGCCTTCTATAGCTAACGCTAACATGACACTAAATAAACCACAAAATTAAAAGATCCCAACCGTTGGACAAAAACATATTATTACTTACAAGTATAGTAGGAACAAACCCAGGTCACCATCAGTCTGTGATTTTGTAGCCTCCTTAGCTCCCTCAAATTAGTGTAGGCCGCGCACCTGCTAACTCTGGTTTTAGCTTTTTGCTTTGCCTCCAAAGACATTACTCTCTTACTTTTACTTCCAGGCTCTGCCATGATGCCAACAAACAACGCTAAATTCTTCTTCTTGTGCTTTTTATTGACGGCTGACAAACTGAAAAAGCTAAATGCTAGCCTTTATATTAGCTACTGGCACTGTAAACAGCTAAAGCAGGTAGAGACCTAATGAACCTGAACCACAGAAGTGTTAATTTTTTATGGGCAGCAGAGGGCTCGAGTGTTGTTCTATATGTAGTCGCTCAGGTTTATGGCTCAAGAGTGACTGAAATCAGTTTGAAAGCAGTAGTTCAAAGTGTTAAAAACTATTTCTTGTAGCTTTAATTTCAATACATCTGATGGATAAATAAACTGAAATCAACCAAATGTTTAGTTAAACCAGGAAGTAACACAGAAGGTGAAGCAAAAATAAGAAAGTGTCCAAAAACATTGTGGTCATGTTTACAGAAGACATTACAAGTTGTCTGTGACATTTGCCTTCATAAAACACGGATGTACTGTTTTCTCTACAGTTTCATACACCTCAGGTTAAACTCTCTTCCTGTTCAAGCTGCCAGGTTATTTTGGAGGGTTATTATAAATTTTGTAGTACACTGCAATAACTTATTTCTGTAGCTAACAGTAATAGACCATTTAGGTTTATTTACAGTGTTTCACAAAGTTGTCCAGAGAGTCCAGAGAGAAAAAAAATCTGTGCTGAGCAGATAAACGCTTGACTTTTTTCACCGCTGACTTTCCCCGTTGGATGTTTAGTGCTTGGCAGGGAGGAACTACATCAGAGCGCTCGGTGCTGAAAAGAGCTGCCTGGTGTGTCTTTAAACTTCACTACAGAGACTAGATTGGATCAGAACAGTTTAACTGTACCCTCCAAAACCAGAAAATAGAAACACAATGGACTCTAGACAGCTGAGAAACGGAGGTGGACAATTAATTTATTCAATTTATTATTTAAAGCAATCAGAATTTTTAATTTGTACTCTGATGGATGAGAGCAATTTGAAATAATAACCTCTAAATGTCTGTTAACAAGGTGCTTTTGGGAAATTAGGTGCTGATAAACAGATGTTTTATTAAAATCTGGCTTTAACAATTAAAGCAAAACACCTAAATGCTTGTTATCACTAGCAGTGGTGATGATTACGACTGGGAAACAGCAACCAAAGTAACAACTACGGCCAAAAAATGCCTTCACGCAAGCAAAGTGTTTACTAATTTATGCTATAAGTAATTAAGAAGTTTGCACCAAAGCAGAGCTTAACTGAGACTAAATCTCTGAGTTTAGACACATACAACGTGCCTGATCACCATGTTCTGACCCGTGCTGCTAAAAGTCTCTTTGATTAACTTTGGAGTATTATATTTAATAACACAATGCCAGCTACAGGCTGTAAATGTGAAGTTAATTGTTCAGTTAATTGCATATTATGTGGCATTTGGAGGCAGAGTAATGCAACAGCTGATTACGTTTTATTGCAGGTAACCAGAGCGTGTAGCTAAACAGTGAGGTGCACTTGTTTTAAATGCTTGAATAATCTTGTTTGCTTGTTTTAGCCTCAGTGGTGCTGACGAAACACGTGAGCACAGTCCATTCAAATGTTTAGCAGCAGAGGGCACTTATATTTTTTATGAGCTTTCAGAAACTTGGAGAATTGTGTCCTGCAGCTTTAACAGGTCGAATTGATTTTCAACCCAAATTCCTGCTGCAACAGATTTTATTCTAACAGCTTGAAGCTATAATAGTCAACTGACCAAACCAAGGAGCCTCCTGATTGCACGTTTAACTGGAAAAAAAAAAACACATTTCAGAGAAGATTAATCAGTCCAAGACTTTCAGATCTGTCCCAGATTCAGACTTGCCGTTATCGTAATTACTGTACGGCGCTTAAGGACATTCCCATTTACATAATTGATTCTTTTATCGAGGCACGTCTTGCTATCTCGCTCATACACAATCTGTTATGCAGAATGGATTTTTCAACAAGGGAGATTTGAAATGCTGATCCCAGTTCTGTTGTCTCTCTCTTCCTGTGTCTCTTTGGATCTCTTTTTCAGCCTCACATCTTCATCTTCTGTCAGTTTTTTGCACTTTTGTGTTTTTTATTGTCTCCTTTTTCTCTTCTCTCCTTTTTTCTCCTTCCTTTCTCCAACATCTGTCTCTTTCTCTTTTTTTTCCTCACTCAGTTTTATCTGCAGCTTTTTATAATTTTCTTTTGCAATAATACAATCTCCCAGTCTCCCCTCTCATTAGACCCCCTCCCCCGACCCCACCATCAGTCATTTTATCTTTTCATTCAGCTAACTGCATATTTTATTGCAAACTGCACACATGGAGCAAAGTTCAGCTCAGGATTCCCTGTCTCACTGTCTCCTGTCTCAGGCCTCATGACTTCTCCTGGGAGAGGAAAGGTGAAGAGCTCCCCCCGCTGGCCAGAGCCGACGGTGACGTTTTGTCCTTTTCGATGCTCAACAAATCAGACAACGGTGTTTACATCTGCCGTGCTGACAACGGCATCGGGAAAGGCATGGAGGAGTACACGCTTCAGGTGCAAGGTAAGAGCAGGACACTGGAAACATGGGTAGAAGATGGGGGAGAGGGGGGATGGAGATGTAGAAGAAAATGTCTTTTTTCTGTTTCTTCATCATGTTTTACTTTTTAGTTCTTGTCATTTGGTGGCTTTTGCTTGTACTTCCATCATTTTCTCTTCTGATTTTCTTTCCTCCTGTTTTTGTTTCTCGTTTACTTTTCTCATCCAACCGCGCCACCATCACCACCATTTGCTTTTGCACATTCCGGCACTTCCCTTTTGCTTTTCTGTGTCCTGTTTCTTCTAATTCATGGCCGTACACGCATATTTTGTTGTATTTTTCTGCGCTTTGCTTGCTTCTTTCACCTCCACCTCCCTAAAAGATCCCACAGACCCAGACTCCCCGGACACCTCCTTCCCCTCTCTAGTTTCACCAACCTCCTCATCCTCCCCTTCTCCCACCTCCCTCCCATCCTCCTTCCCTCTCGACATCTTCCAAGGCTCAGGGTCAGACATCACTGACTTCCTCCCCACCTCTCTCCCCGACTCCTCCCTTCCTGTGGCTGTTGACTCAACCACCTTCTCTCCTCCCCCCTTCCCCACCACCACCCTCTCCAACGCCCTCTTCCCTGACCTCACGTTCACTCCAACCCCTTCCTCCCCGAGCATTCCCCCTCCCACTGCACCTTCCTCCCTCTCACCCCTCACACCCTCAGTTTCCATCCAGCTGAATGGAGTTTACACTTCCACAGGTAAAACCAGTTGCACACCTGCACACACGCACACATGAGACACCTAGTAATGGAGTAGAAAAGAAAACCATTAAAGTCACAGCTTTGTTATTTTCTCCTTCACTACACCGACGACGTAGCTGTCAAAGATACTTAGAGTTTGTTTTAAATTCACACACATGCAAACACACACAGAGAGGCTGAAGGAGCTCACAGGAATGGACAAAATAGGATTTTGTGGCTGTGTCACGGCAATTTCATGGATTTTTTTCTTCTTTTCCTCCTATTAAAACTCCCTAACCCTCATCCTTATCCTCAACACACACTTCTCCTCTTTTCCATGCATCTGTCCATCCATCCATCCATCCATCCATCCATCTAAACATTCAACAACCCATCTGAAGATGATACACGCAACTCAACAGGTATAATGTTTCTACTGGTCACCTGTCCTTGTGGTTTTCTGTTGTTTCTATCTACCTGTGTGTGCATCTTTCTGTCTGTGGTTTTGTTTGTTTGTTCTGTTTTTACTCGGGTAAAACAATGGCATCATTTACAACTTTGGTGAAGAAGGATGAGTTTCTTTTCGCCCAAACATGCACAGTCCCCCTCCCAAACAAGCGAACGTGCCCACCTGCTGCAAACGCTCATATCTCTCTGGGACACGCTAGCTAGCTAGCATGACCTCCTAAGTGGTACAAGTCATTTACACAGTGTTCCACTTCCTGTGTGTGTGCATGTCGATGTGTTTTGGGAGAATAGGAAGGGGGTGCAGGCTTTGAGTCATTCGTGGGTCTTGTCTGCTTCCCTATGATGCTGACAGCAGGATTTATAGCCCCGTTCTCATTCTGGCCTCGTCACATGCCCCACTCACCTCCACGCTGGCCAGTCAGAAGTGTATGTTCTACTTTCTCTGTGTTTGTGTATCTGTGTGTGTGTGTGTGTGTGTGTGTGTGTGTGTGTGTGTGTGTGCGCGTGTGTTTGTGTGTGTGTGTGTGTGTGTTTGTGTATCTGTGTTTGTGTATCTGTGTGTGTGTGTGTGTGTGTGTGTGTGTGTGTGTGTGTGTGTAGGTGTGTGTGTGTGTGTGTGTGTGTGTGTGTGTGTGTGTGTGTGTGTGTCTACCCCCACACCCAGCAGCTTCTCTTCTGTTCTCTGTCTTGGACTGGCCTCTAGTTAGCTCCTGTCAGGTCCCACGCTGTCCTCAGAGGCAGAACGTGTTACTGCTTTCAAAGTTGGCCACTCACCACATCATCTGGTGTCCCAGCTGGTTGCTACGTGTTCCTTTTTGTTTCAGTTCTGTCTTCATGTTTAGCTGTGAGTGTTTATTGTGACTTTGTGCCTTTTTGCTGTAATCTTTATTTTTCCACTTTAATTTTGTTCCTAAAACTCAAAACAGAACCAAATCCAGCTCCTTTTTTTGCCCCCATCATTTGTTTTTTTTTATATTAATTCCATTTCAGTTTTTTCTTATGTCCCACGCGTCTGAAAAATGCTGCCTGGAAGCTGGTGCCATCTACATGACTTTTGCACAGACACCCAGAGATTTTAAGGGCTAAAAAAGACCGGCGAAATAAATGCTGTGTCAAACTAGTTCTGCTGAAAATTGGTGCCTTCTTTAAGCACCAAGTGACTGATGTAAGGGGAAAAGAGAGTAAAAAAATCCAGTCCCTGTTGTCGGGTGAAACACCTGCATCTGTCAAAAGCCCCAGCTCTCCAGGAAGGATTTCCAGGAAGGTCCTTTTGTGCAGCTACATCCACAAACACAACGTTAAAGAACAGCAATTCAGACGTGTTTTATATTCAAACAAGTTATGTTTTTTTTAATGTAGAACAATTTGGGTTTTCTTCTTTATTCTATAACGGTTTAAATTTAGATTTAGATGATTTAGCAACATGTCATAAATAGCCTAATAATTTCCCAGACTGACCTAAAACTTAGCTTCCAACATGAACAGGACAGAAAATATGAGACAAAGAGCTGTTAAACACGTTTTAAGACCAGATACGATGGAGTCTGCTGTCATGGATGACTAAATCTTGCTTACAAATGTAAATATGATTATACATTTTCATGCTTACATTTTACTTAAAAAGAGGATCGAGAGCACATTTGCCTAATATTATTAGTAATTGTTGTGCTAGTACTATTAATTATATAAAAATAAAATGAATATCACCCTTTTAAAGAGTGGAGGTGAGCAGTTTCCTGCTCGTCCGCCGTACTGGTTAAAAGTGAAATTACAACTGTCGTAAACAACCCTGCTGCAGCCTGCTGTAGCTAGCGCTAACGACAAGCTAATGCTAACATGAGCCAACTATTACTAAAATAAACCATGAAGTAAAAAGAGCCACACTGTTGAACAAAAAAAAAATACTTACAAGTCCAGTAGCAACAAAGCCAGGTCACCATCAGTCTGTGATTTTGTAGCCTCCTTTAGCTCCTTCAAACTAGTGTAGGCCACTTGAAGTTCACTCTGGTTTTAGCTCTTTGCTTTGCCTCCAGAGACATTACTCTCTTACTTTTACTTCTAAGCTCAGCCATGATGCCAACAGAAAAACAAACAACTTTGTTTTTTTCTTGTGTTTTTATTGACCGGTGAACTGAAAATGCTAACTGATAGCATAACAGCTAATAGCCATAAAACAGGTAAGGAGCTCCTCCTATAGGACACCTACTCGCTCCAGCAGAGGGCTGCAGAGTGGTGTCAATTTTGAAACTGGTCAAGTTTCTAACTCAACAATCCCATGCTAACCCTAACACAACATGCCCTATAGGTTATAAACTGTAAGTCGCTTTGGATAAAAGCGTCTGCCAAATAAATAAACATAAACAAAAAAAATCTACATATTTTATTTAATACTATTTATGTGCTACTATTAATGTGACTCCACTATATATAAGGATATTACTAATCATCGTAAAAAGGCAGAGCTTTAACAAATATAGAAATAGGTGTATTAGATAGGCTGCATTTGGCTTTATGGGGTTAAAATTGGTGCAGAGCAGAGGAGTTAAGTGTCTGCCCCGTGATTGGAAGGTTGCAGGTTCAAGCCCTGCTGTCATGTCCTTGGGCAAGACCCCTAAAGCTGTTGTCTGTAATTTTCCTTTCATCTGATGGTACACTCTCTCTGTGATTAACGCCTGTACATAAGCGGTAGTCTAACGCTATTGGTTAGTGCTGACCGGCACTCAGTTCATGTTGCATTGAGCTCTAAGAGACAGGGGGCGGGGCTTAGCAAATAAATAAATAAATAAATAAAAAGACGTAGTTCCTACATTATATCACAGTACACGATAAGACAATGACTTTTATGGATTTCTGAAAAATCCTACATAATTCCTGAAAGAGGAACTGGTACTGGTGGTGCCAGTGAGCCCCAGGTCGTCTGAGCAGAACTCGCATCCTAAACTCCAGAATGCTGTTATCAGTCAGACACCAGCCATTTTTAATGGAGGGTGATGAAATGGCCTTGTTTTTTCACATTTGTCCCCTGAAAGTTCACCACAGTGGGTATTACATACTGACGTCATTTTTGCTCAAATTTTTTATTTTTATTTTGTTTTCTCTTTGTCACTCCCTGTTATTTTCCCACTATTTTTCCTTCAGTTTCTACTGACTTTCATCATCCGTCTCCAATTTCCACCATTTTTTACCCACCACCCCATTATTCTTTCTCCTTCTGTCTCCCTCCCTCTCTTCTCTCCTCACATTTTTATTCTCCATGTATATTACATTTTGTAGAATCTCTTGTTTTGTCCGTTTTCTTCTATCTCTTCTCATTTTATATTTTCATGGTGGATATTCTTCCCTCTCTCGACTACTAACTTCTCTTCTCTGACCTCTTTTGAAGACACAACAGCCATGTCGACATCTTCGGGGGTGGACCACGCTGTGATCGGAGGGGTGGTTGCTGTTATCGTCTTCATCCTGCTTTGTCTCCTCATCGTCCTCGGCAGATACCTCATCAGGCACAAAGGTCACCGGCTGGCACACACACACAAAACACTCATTCCTCCATGGCACTCAGAAACATTCATGCATTCATGTATGAACATAAGGGGGACACACTGATATAAATATGGATACATGCAAACTAAAACTGGAGCTCCCTTCTAAACACGAGTGTGCAGAGAAATGCAGGGGCATGCAGATGCACTTGAGTTGATTTTAAGCATGAAATTCAAAATGAAAGGTTAATCAAAGCCAACAAGCTGATTTTTATCCACAAATATAACAAAATGAACTTTTGCGAACCGCTTCGCTCAACCAGACTCAGTTTCTGACTTCACAACTCAACGCTTGTCCACATCATTGAACACGACTGCCTGGTGTTTGGGGTCAGCTCTGTTAAAACTCCTGTCTGTGTCATTGGCCTCTGTCTGAGACGCGTCCTCAGGTGACATCATCAACCGACTGACGCCTAATCTTTCAGTTTTAGTGCAACTAAAAAGCGATTTCTGATGCTTTGGCAGAGCTGTGCAGCCAGCATCTCTCTGGGTTGTTGGATTTTTGGAGAAACAGAATTGCGTGTAAAAATCCTAACTATTGACTTTGAATCACACCAGACTGGTGCTGATATTTTTTGCTGCAGTTAAGTCTTAATTTGTTCCGTTTATCTTCATTTTCTTGGGAATTAAATTTCCCACTTTTCCAAAAGATGTCTCACACTTTCTGACTCTTGCAAACCAAACTGTAAGACATATTCCAGATGCTTTCGAGACACCTCTGAGACTATTTTGAAAGTTTTTTTGTTTCTTGATTGTTTAAAATAGCCGCAACATGAAAGCAACACCCTACAGCTAACAAGGACAAAATGAGAACCCTTGTGAGATGCTAGTTATTGTTAATTTTCATTTTGATGCAGAGATTTAAGCAAAGAATGATTGTTATTTGGACATTTTTCTCATTTGTGACAATTATTCCTATAATGTTTAGTATTGTATTCAAACATCCCCATAGATTATAAGTATTTAGAGGCTTGTTTTTATAGTTTTTTACAAGTTCAGTCCATCTCTGATGTGGACCCTTAACCTTACCAACTTGCTTATTGGAAAAGCAAAGGTATCCAATGTAATAAAAAATCTAAAACCTCTGAACGGGACCATCTACTCTATTTGGCAACCATTTTAAAAGTGCCTGGGACAGTGAAAAACATGCAGCTTTAGCTTTGTCCCTCACTGTAGATTTCTTACACATTATTCTGATGTGTGGAGTTTGAAATGAAGCTCATACAAATTAAAGAGGAAGTCACCCCCTACCAGATTCGTACTCAACTCCCACTTCCTGTTTGAAAAATGCAACAAATGTTGTTGCCTAGCAGGCCGAGAGGGTGTAGCCGCTGACAAATACACACACACAAACACACACACACAGACTCACAATGACATTCGCTGTGTCTCAATTCAGGGTCTGCATCCTTCAAAGGACCCAGTCTACTCGGCCAACGTTGGCTGGGTCCTCCGTCGGCCGAGTAGACCGGATGTTAACGGCTGTGAATTTGGACAGGCCTAGCCTTCATGAATTCCCGCCACTCCCTCGGCGAACGTTTCGTTGCCTAGCAACCGTGGAACCGCTGAGCAGAAGGGAGAAGGAACGTAAAACGATGGAGCTCGAAGTTTTATTTAGCTTTTTAATCATGACTGTTGGAGAGCTAATTCAGAGAAAATACTTTCGGCAAGCTGAGCCTGAGCAAAGATGTGATCATAGTTTTTAATAATTTCTAAGGGTCTTAATTTGACCAAAACCGATGTATCACCTTTTAAGACTTTAAGACCCAGCGGATACCCTCTAGTAAACCATTCTCATTTGTGAACAAAAATAAAATTCAAGAGTTTAGTGCAGAACTGATTTTATTTATAAATTTCTTTTATATGTACACATTTAATCTTTCTTAGCCATTTTTTTCTAGCAAAGTAAAAAGCTGTCAAAGTTCTTCCTTCTCTCCTGTGCCCTCTGCTGCTCTGCCTCCCTCTGCAGCCTCAAGTCCTCCCTGATCAGCTCCAGGAGCTGGTCATCGCTGTCACCTTCCCCTGGATGCCCATTTTCTCCAGAATAGTCTAAACAAACATGTAAGAAAAGAAACAGGAAGAGAAAAGAGGACAACGGGTTATTCCTTTCATGTTTTCGCAGAACAAAATAAACTCAAACGAGTTTTTAAAATATGAGATGTTGTTGTACCTCCATGCCACAGCCGCCAAATACTTTGCTCCAGTTAACATGTGGTCCATCTTCGCCCTAAGCTGAATACATTCCCTGGTTTTCTCTTTTGGTCCTAAAATACAAACTTCTATTAAAATCAGGGGGAAAACGTAGCGGGAGAAGTACGACACCGAGCGGCCGAACATACGAGCCGATACCGCAATACAAGCACTTTTACTGTCTCTCGTCTCGTCTTGTCTCGTCTTCCTCCGCTTATCCGGGTCCGGGTCGCGGGGGCAGCATCCCAACTAGGGAGCTCCAGGCCGTCCTCTCCCCGGCCTTGTCCACCAGCTCCTCCGGCAGGACCCCAAGGCGTTCCCGGACCAGATTGGAGATGTAACCTCTCCAACGTGTCCTGGGTCGACCCGGGGGCCTTCTGCCGGCAGGACATGCCCGAAACAACTCCCCGGGGAGGCGTCCAGGAGGCATCCTGACCAGATGCCCAAACCACCTCAACTGGCTCCTTTCGATCCGGAGGAGCAGCGGTTCTACTCCGAGTCCCTCCCGAATGTCCAAGCTCCTCACCCTATCTCTAAGGCTGAGCCCGGCCACCCTACGGAGGAAACTCATTTCGGCCGCTTGTATCCGCGATCTCGTTCTTTCGGTCATTACCCAAAGCTCATGACCATAGGTGAGGATTGGGACGTAGATCGACCGGTAAATCGAGAGCCTGGCTTTCTGGCTCAGCTCCCTCTTCCCCACGACAGATCGGCTCAGCGTCCGCATCACTGCAGACGCCGAACCAATCCGCCTGTCGATCTCCCGATCCCTCCTACCCTCACTCGTGAACAAGACCCCGAGATACTTAAACTCCTCCACTTGAGGTAGGACCTCTCCCCCGACCCGGAGGTGGCAAGCCACCCTTTTCCGGTCGAGAACCATGGTCTCAGATTTGGAGGTGCTGATCCTCATCCCAGCCGCTTCACATTCGGCCGCGAACCTACCCAGCAAGAGCTGAAGGTCAGAGCTGGATGAAGCTAGGAGGACCACATCATCCGCAAAAAGCAGAGACGAGATTCTCCTGCCACCAAACTCGACACACTCCACACCACGGCTGCGTCTAGAAATTCTGTCCATAAAAGTGATGAACAGAATTGGTGACAAAGGGCAGCCCTGGCGGAGTCCAACCCTCACTGGGAACAGGTTCGACTTACTACCGGCTATGCGGACCAAACTCACGCTCCTCTGGTAAAGGGACTGAATGGCCCTTAACAGAAAGCCACCCACCCCATACTCCTGGAGCGTCCCCCACAGGGTGCCCCTGGGGACACGGTCATAAGCAATCTCCAAATCCACAAAGCACATGTGGATTGGTTGGGCAAACTCCCATGCCCCCTCCATCACCCTTGCAAGGGTATGGAGCTGGTCCACAGTTCCACGGCCAGGACGAAAACCACATTGCTCCTCCTCTATCTGAGATTCAACTATCGATCGGACCCTCCTCTCCAGTACCTTGGAGTAGACCTTTCCAGGGAGGCTGAGGAGTGTGATCCCCCTATAGTTGGAACACACCCTCAGGTCACCCTTCTTAAAGATGGGGACCACCACCCCGGTCTGCCACTCCCTAGGAACTGCCCCCGATGACCACGCAATGTTGTAGAGACGTGTCAACCATGACAGCCCTACAACATCCATAGCCTTGAGATACCCAGGACGAACCTCATCCGCCCCCGGGGCTCCGCCGCTGTGTAGTTGTTTGACTACCTCAGCAACTTCTGCCCCCGAGATCGGACAGTCCATCCCCAGGCCTCCCAGCTCTGGTTCCTCCTCGGAATGCGCATTGGTGGGATTGAGGAGCTCCTCAAAGTATTCCTTCCACCGTCCGACTATAGCCTCAGTTGACGTCAGCAGCTCCCCATCCCCACTGTAAACAGTGTGAGCGAGTTGCTGCCTTCCTCTCCTGAGGCGCCGGACAGTTTGCCAGAACCTCTTTGGAGCCGATCGATAGTCTTTCTCCATGGCCTCACCAAACTCCTCCCACGCCCGAGATTTTGCCTCGGCAACTGCCACTGCTGCACCCCGCTTGGCTATCCGGTACCTGTCTGCTGCCTCCGGAGACCCACAGACCAGCCACGCCCTGTAGGCCTCCTTCTTCAGCCTGAAGGCTCCCCGAACCTCTGGTGTCCACCAGCGGGTACGGGGGTTGCCACCACGACTGGCACCGGCCACCTTACGACCACAGCTAGCAACAGCCGCCTCGACAATCGCAGAGTGGAACAAGGCCCACTCGGACTCAATGTCCCCCACTGCTCTTGGGACGTGGTCAAAGCTCTGCCGGAGGTGGGAGTTGAAGACCGTCTTGACAGGTTCTTCTGCCAGGCGTTCCCAGCAGACCCTCACTATGCGTTTGGGTCTGCCAGGTCTACGCGGCATGTTCCCTTGCCATCTGATCCAACTCACCACCAGGTGGTGATCAGTTGACAGCTCCGCCCCTCTCTTCACTCGGGTGTCCAAAACATACGGCCGCAGGTCAGATGATACGACTACAAAATCTATCATCGACCTGTGACCTAGGCTGCCCTGGTACCAAGTGTACCGGTGGGCATCCTTATGTTCGAACATGGTGTTCGTTATGGCCAAACTGCGGCTTGCACAGAAGTCCAATAACAAAACACCGCTCGAGTTCTGATCAGGTGGGCCGTTCCTCCCAATCACACCCCTCCAGGTCAAGCTGTCATTGCCCACGTGAGCATTGAAGTCCCCCAGCAGGACAATGGAGTCCCCTGATGGAGCACTATCTAGCACTCGTCCCAGGGACTCCAAAAAGGGTGGGTACTC